GGATGGAGGGGGGTTAATGGCTATTTTATAAATAGCCAACGACTATTTTGGCAGAGAAAACTGCTACATTTTAAATGCCCCAACGGGCATATTTTGTTTTAAAATTTGGAGCCGTTGAGACCGTTTGAGACCGTTTAGGCCCGCTAGGACCGGTCCCGATCTGCTCCCGGTCCCAAACGGTCCGGTCTCGTGGGTCTCGCGCAAAGGATCGACCCACTTGCAGGCCCACCTTCCCCGGTCCCGGTCTTAAACGGTTAGGACTGTATAGGCCCACTACCCATATAGACTGCGGTCCTGAGCCGGTCCCGATCCTGAACTGGCCCACTTGCCAGCCTTATGTAACACCTAGCACTTCAGCAAATAAGTCTGTTCAATTTAAAGTTACATAATTGTTGTTAAAGTTCGTTCATGATCCTCTCCTTTCTGTGGTTGATTTTCTCCCCCTTTCTCTCGTCATGTGCATCTCCATCGCCGGCTAAATAATTACAATTATACTTCTATATCTTTTGAATTATATTTAATTATTGACTTTCTAGAAGTTGCAGCTTTTCAAAATTCTTGAAATTTGAATTATACGGGAACAAACTTTTTAGGCCAAATACATAAGTGGACCCTTGAACTTGCTATTTTTTCTATTTAGACACTCCTATTGAACACTTGAACTCAAGCTCAAGTGTATCTATTAAACACACATGGATGACATGGCACCGTGCGTGTGAAACATCAAACTTGAGCGCGTGAGGGCCAGAAAACAAATTTTCCTTCTTCTACATTCTCTCCCTGTCACTTCATCCATCCACGAAGAAACAAAAACAGAAAAGTTATAACTCGCCACCGCTGACTGTGAGTGAATCCTATCAACTAGACTCTTCCGAAACTCAACCAAACCCACCCCACCCTCGACCTCCTAATCATCTATATGCCATTACAGCCCCCCTCTCGTCTTCTTCATTCAAAGTGTACGGTTGGATGTTGTCATCTCTATTTCACCCCATTTCTCATTTTTTATATTTCTGTCAGAGAATTTAGATCATATGGGTGTCGTAACTTAGGAGGAATTGCTTATGAGCGAGGTGGTTGACTTTTATTCTAGTAGGTGTATTTCCTTTATATTTGCAGCAGATATGAAATTGATTCATTATCTTAAATCATTGAGCTTGTCGTCTTTGATTGAATCAAATCACATGAACTTTCTGACAAAATTGGTAATCTAGAGCAAAAATGAGAAATGAACTCCACATCCATCTGCGAGCAAAATAATTGGGTTATAGCGTCGAGTCAATTTTGAAAGAATTGTTTGATTGTATAACAGTGGAATGGTGTTGTATGTATAACAGTGAAATGGGGATTTTGAGAAGAAAATAATATTGTAGATGAGAGAGGCGTTCTTTCTCTTTTTCTTTTCTAAAAATCACACCTGTCACCTAATGATTCGCTTGTTTTGTCATGTCAGAGTGTGTGAAACTCACACATTTAGTTTTTGAAAAAGATTATGTGTAAGATGTCTTATTGCTATACAGAAACTTGAGTTTAGGTGTCCAATAGGTCATAGTTTTAGTTCAAGTATTTAAATGAATTTTTTTGACAAGTTTAAGGGGCTGTATATCTATTCAACCAACTTTTTATATCATGTGGTCATGATATCTATGGGTTGTTTGGTAGGATGTATTAGGAAAAATAATAAATGTATTAGCTTTGATATTATTAATTTCTTATTTGGTAGTATTTTTTTAATTTATATATAATTAATACTTGTATTAGTTATATATCATATTCAATGCTATTCATATACATAGCAAATCATGTGATTAGTAATACCATAATTTTTAATATATGTATAAAAACAGAACTGACCTTTCAAAAATTTTAATATACCAGACCAAATAGTCAATAAAAAATAATCCTAGTTTATTATATATTTCAATATTATTTTTTTATTTTTCTACTAAGAATGTTAAACCAATGGACGTATGGAAACATAGAATACATCTACACTATTCTAGAAAAGTTACTCTATCAAAACCCCAACTCTCATTGTTCGGTCACTTCATCTACATTGTCCGGACACTTTATCTCATTTACTCTGTAAGTCACTTTCATCTTCTCACTTTCATCTCCTTCACTCTTTTGTAAGTTTAGTTCATCTTCTCAACTAGCTTGGTAAATTTTTTTCTTATCTCCTTTCCGATTTTATGCTGTAATTTTTTTGTAGGTGCCATTATTGTTCATTTAAACTTCTACCAAAAATTACTTTATCAATTTTTTCTATCTACTTTGAATGTTCCGATTTCAGAAGAATTCTTGTGAACTGTATCAGTAGAAAGATAAGAAATTCCATCTTGTAATTTTGTACACATAGCCATCTCAAGTTGTTCAAGTTGTTGCGCAACTTTAGCCAGATCTTAAGATTTAACCTTATAGTCCAAAACAGCTAAAAGCTCATCCCTTCCAGCATCTGGTTGTTCTTCTTCAAAAATCTTGGATTTACTAGAAGAAGAGCCATCTTGGAATTTTTCTCTATCACGATCTCTTTCATTTTCTTGGGATTTTCTCTAATGGGGTTTAATCTTTTTCCTTCTTTTTTTTTTCCGGATTATTAGGTGTGTGTGACAAGTGCTGGATTTTGACAAGGAATTGGTTTACTAGAAAGCTGGATGATGAATGGAGGAGTTTGAAGAAGGAAAAAGTCTGATTTTTTTGCTTGGTTTTTGCATCAACTTTCAGATTTTTGGGGACTACTTTGTTTCTTTTTGATTTGAATATTTATTTTCTTTTTGAGAGTTGTGAGACAGAGAAGAGAGTGTAAGAGGAAGTGCTCGTGAAGAGGGCCCAACCACTTTATCTCATTTACTCTTTAAGTCAGTTTCATCTTCTTTGCTCACACTCACTTTCATCTCCTTCACTCTTTTGTAAGTTTGATTCATCTTCTCAACTAGCTTGGTAAATTTTTTTTCTCATCTCCTTTTCGATTTTATGCTGAATTTTTTTTGTAGGTGCCATTATTGTTCATTTAAACTTATACCAAGAATTACTTTATCAGTTTTTTCCATCTACTTTGAATGTTCCTAATTCAGATCTGAATTTCTCCTACTTTTATTTCCCAAGAACTATTTTATCAGTTTTTTTTCATCTACTTTGGGTGTTCCAATTTCAGATAAAAACAATGCTTTGTCTGTCTAAAAACTGTAGCTTATGTTCACAAAACAAATACTCCTAGAAAGAATAGCCATTATCTGCTTAGGTTTGTTCAAATATTAACGTGCTACACCAAGATTCCTCCTTGACATATTTTACTTTCAAATATTTATATACTCCATTAATAAGCAACCACAATATTGCCAACAAAGCTAACTGTATTCAATGTTTACACAAACCAATAAATACAAAAAAAATTTAAGGCTCTGTATTGTACTACTTTTCTCTTGGTATTTTAGGGTAGAACTTTTTTATTGGGTTTATTTAATCTTTGAATATGAGTTAAGATATAAACAATATAATAATGTCTTTTACTCTTGTAATTTTGAATATTATCTATCTTTTTCAGGCTGCGGTTGCCTATTATTGACACTTTTCTTTATTTGTTTTATTTTTCTTATTATAGGGCTCACTGTCTGTTGTGATAGTTGTGTGTTCGTGCGTTTTAATAGCAAAAATCACCGTGTGGTAAGTACTGCTCTTCTGCTAGATTTATTCATTAATATTTTTCTCTTACCTTCTTCGTATTAAGGAGGTGTTGACCAGATCATCAAAATTTTTTGATTTTGGAAACAACATTCCCTCTGTCTATCTTAGTCGTTTGTCATTTATTTATTTTAATTGTTTTTGACGAGTAAAGAATTTACTCATTTTATTCATTTCAGGTCATCCCATCATACTTTAACTCTTTTTAACTAAAAGGTAATCTATTATATTCAGAATCAGTTATGAAATTTATATCATTACCTAAGTTGCTTTTGTTTGTGATATATGCCATTATGATTAAACTTACATAACTTATAAGCATATCATTACATGTATCTAAAATTTCAGTGTTTTCCTTTTCAAGCCTTAATAATAAGAAAAATATCCCGGCAATAGATAAGTTGCCTTAATGGCGAATAGAAACCATGAAAATGACCAGGCCTTTGGAAAATCACATGCTGACAAACAGGCTAGGCGACGCGAATTATATAGACTGATGCCACCTGATAAAAAAGAGGCCCTTTTGGCATGACGGCGTGCAAACAGAGCTGAACTGAAAAGACGACGGTCTACTGAATCTTCAATTAGTGTTGATGCAGCTAACGCATCATCCTCTAACGCAACCAATGTTTCTACCAACCAAAGTTCTCTTATTATAAATGACCCATTGCCTTTTTCAAGGAAAAGAACAGGTATGACTAAAAATCAAGGTTTGTTTAAACTGCATCTACTAAGAACAGTAGTGATTACCTTTTTCTGAGTTAATAATCTACTCAATACTAGAGTTTTCGTATGCAGGGAACGTTTTCACAAAATCTGGTGGTTCGAGTAGTATGCAAGCAGAAAATACTTACGTTAAATTAAAAGAAATACCAAAATGCCAATTTTGTGGAGCAAAAAAATTTGAATATGAACCGCCTGCATTCTGTTGTGGTAACGGTTCTATTCAACTAATTTCACATGAAATGCCAACAGAGTTAAGAAACCTTTATCTGGGAAATAGTGAGGAATCAAAACATTTTCGAACTTACATTAGAACATACAATAAAATGTTTGCGTTCACATCCCTTGGTGTAGCTTATGACAAAGAGCTAGCAAAAAGAAATAATGGTATCTATACATTCCGTGTTCAAGGGCAAATGTATCATTTCATAAATGACTTGATACCAGCTGATCAAAAAGGAAAAAACTTTCAGTTATACTTCTTTGATAGTGAAAATGAAGTGAGAAATCGAATGGCTTGTTCAAATAAATTGAATGAAGATATTGTAAAAAGTTTGATGAATATACTAAAAATTAATCCATACTCAATGTTTTTGAAATCCTAAATAAATATTCCACAATTATCTAATTTTTATATTGCGTTTAAGAGTGATGCTGGTTTAGATCAACGAGTATATAACCTACCAACTGTATCAGAAGTTGCAGGTATATGGGTCGAACAAGATATCAATAATTCTATTCATGCACCACATATCCGTATATATACGAAAAGTGATAGAAGTCAGCTGGTTAATTATTATTATGGTTGTTATGATCCATTACAATATCCATTATTGTTCCCTCATGGTCAAAATGGATGGCATTGTGGTATTAAGAAAATTAAGCATTCTACTGGTAAATCAATAACGCGAACATACTGTGAACATGAACAATTACCGAGTGTAATGAATATGTGTTCAATTGATGGATTACTCGATATGGAAGCTGAGGTTTTGCAAAAAGGAAAACGAAAAAGAGACAATGTTTCTTGTCGTGAATATTATTGTTACAAACTTCAAATAAGAGATGATGAAAATATACTTTTACATGCTGGAAGATTATTCCAACAATATATTGTGGATGAATGGATAAAAATTGAAAGCCAAAGATTAGACTTTGCTTCTTTTAATCAGAATTTATTCAGAGTTGATGTATTAGGTGGGCTCTTAGATATTCTACGATGTGGGGAAAGAGAAGCTTCACAAGTTGGAAAACAAAAAATACTCCCACTTAGCTTTACAGGAGGCCCAAGAGATATGCGTCGAAGGTATATGGATGCTATTGCATTAGTGCAACATTTTAGAAAACCAGATATATTTTTGACTATGACGTGTAATCCTTCTTGGCCTGAAATAAAAGAAAACCTTCTAACGATAGATTAAACACAAAATAGACCCGATTTAGTTAGTCGAGTATTTAGAGCAAAACTAGAAGAGTTGAAAAAGGATATTCTCAAAACACAAATATTTGGTTAAGTCACAGCATTTATGTATACAGTGGAATTCCAAAAATGGGGACTTCCACATGCTCATTTTCTTATAATACTTGATGAAAAATACAGATTACTAACTCCTGAAGCATATGACCGATTTGTATGTGCTGAATTACCGGATAAAAAAGAAAATCCCTACACTATATTCACTTGTTACAGATCACATGATGCACGGTCCATGCGGAGAATTAAATCCAACAAATTCTTGTATGAAAAAAAAAGGTCATTGTAAATTTAAGTATCCAAAAGAGTTTGCAGAACAAACAACTAAAGGAAAAAATTCGTATCCAATTTATAGAAGATGAAACACAGATAAGAAAGTGCAAATAAGAGGACACCTTCTTGATAATTCATGGGTTGTTCCTTATAATTCATATTTACTTTGTAGGTTCAACTGTCATATGAATGTAGAGATATGCTCTGATATTAAAGTTGTTAAGTACATTTATAAGTATATTTGCAAAGGACATGATAAAATTGCATTTCATATACATGCTAATGATACAAACATAGAGATAAGATGAAATAAAGGAATACCAATCTGCTAGGTGGGTGTCACCACCTGAGGCAACATGGCGTATATTTGCTTTCCCTATTAGTGAAATGTTTCCAAATGTATATCATCTTCAGCTACATCTTGATGGACAACAACTTGTTTCTTTCAAGAATACAGACAATATTAGTAGAATTGTGAACAATCCAATGGTTAAGAAAACAATGTAAACTGAGTTTTTTTTAATGAATCGAGAAAACAAAGATGCTATGGACTTAAATTTATTATATCGAGAATTTCCAGAATACTTTGTATGGTCAACAAGAGAAAAAACATGGACACCTCGTCAACGAGGAAGTGCCATTGGTCGTGTGGTGACATGTCATCCAATTGAAGGGGAAAGATACTATCTTAGATTGCTTCTAATGAATGTGAGAGGACCAAAATCATATGAAGATTTGCAAACTGTAAATGGAGTACAATGTAAAACATTTAGAGAAGCTGCAGAAAAAAGAGGATTATTACTTTGTGATAACAATTTGGTAGAATGTATGTCTGAAGCTGTAAGTTATCAAATGCCATCAAGTTTAAGACAATTATTTGCTATGTTATTAATCTATTGTAATCCAGCTAATCCAAAAGAATTGTGGGAAAAATTTGAAAACCCAATGTCTGAAGATTTCAAAAAAGACTCGAATATTGATGGAAGAGAAATCCGTTACAAAGTGTTAAACCATATTAACAATATTCTTCATTCAATGGGCCGTGATATTAATGAATTTGAACTAATTTTAGAAATGATAAAGCCATCTACAATAGCAAAAGAAGCTAAAGATGTTCATTTCGAAAGAAATATTATTGTTAGCGAACAAGATTTAATATTAGAAAACAAATTAAATATTGAACAAAGAAGAGCTTACAATATGATTCTTGACATAATATTTTCAAATAGACCAGGGGCATTCTTTATTGACGGTCCTAGTGGAACTGGTAAAAGCTTTTTATATCGTGCTTTATTAGCTACTGTGAGGCACAGAGGATTCATAGCTTTAGCAACTGCAAGTTCCGGTGTTGCAGCTTCACTTCTTCCTGGAGGTCGAACTGCTCATTCCCGCTTTAAAATTCCCATTGATGTTAATGAGAACTTCACCTGCAATATTAGTAAGCAAAGTTCATTAGCATCTTTAATACAAGATGCAAAACTAATTGTATGGGATGAAATTTCAATGGCAAAAAAGGAAACGGTAGAGGCATTCAATTTGCTTTTAAGAGATCTAATGGAAACTAATATACTATTTGGTGGAAAGGTAGTTGTCTTTAGTGGTGATTTTAGACAAACTCTTCCCGTGGTTCGTAGTGGAAAAAAGGAAGATTTTATTCGTGAAAGTTTATTGTTCTCCGAAATTTGGAATCAACTTGAAAAGTTACAACTATCAGAGAATATGCGTGCGAAAACAGATCCTGCTTTTTGTGAATATTTAATGAGAATTGGTGATGGAAAAGAAAGACAAAATGCCTATGGAAAAATTGAAATTCCTCATTCTCTCATTATTCCATTTACTTCTGAAAAAGAATCTTTGAATATGCTCTTTCGAGTTACTTATCCCGATTTATACAATTGTCATTCAAATGCTTCTTTTATTACTTCTCGTGTTATTCTAACAACCAAAAATGATTTCGTTGATGAAATAAATGACATGCTTCTTGCTCAATTTCCAACCACCGAAAAAGTTTACATTGCTACTGATGAGACAATTGATCCAAAAGATCAGAGTGAGTATGAAGATTTTTTGCACACGTTAAATCCTGCTGGTTTGCCTCCTTATACATTATCTTTGAAGAAAAATTGCCCGATTATGTTATTAAGAAATCTGAATCCCAGTGAAGGTTTATGCAATGAAACACGATTAATATGTAATAATTTTAAAACTCATGTCATCAGTGCAACAATATCTAGCGGCGATTTTAAAAATAGACATGTATTTATTCCGCGAATACCACTCATGACATCAGAAGATGAGAAATTACCCCTCCCTTTTAAAAGAACACAATTTCCAGTTCGATTATGTTTCGCCATGACAATAAACAAAGCTCAAGGTCAAATATTAGATTTTGTGGGTATCTATTTGCGCGAACCTGTCTTTTCTCATGGTCAATTGTATGTTGCTTTATCAAGAGCCAAAAGCTCTAATTGTGTGAAAGTATTAATAAGACCACCTACGGCTGACGACGATGATGATCACTCTACATATAATATAGTCTATGATGAAATTATTAAAAAAGCTTTTTCTTGACCATATGCTACAATTTCTTATGGTAAATCAAATTATAACTTGATTTTTTTCTATATTCTTTCATTTATGTTAAACTTTGTTTATTTTTATTGTTAAAGTATACTGTTATACTAATATTAATATGTTGTAATTGCAGATTAAGTCCACTATGGGTGAAAGGTTAACTATCAACATGATCACTCCCAAAACAAAAGAATGGACCTGTAAGATCCAAGTAATTGATAAAGGTCGTCCCAAAGACAACAAAGAGAAAACCAAAAAATATCAACTCATGACTTTACAGGATGAAGAGGTATTCTTTTTTAAACAATTTTGCCAAAAGTAATTGAATTAATCCATTTTTGCTCATATATTAGAGGTTGCTCATATTAAAATTTTGTATATTTTGTTGGTATAATTTCCCCCAATTTAATTAAATATGATTATAATCTAACCATATCTTATTTTCTTACAGGAAAATCAAATTCAGGCCATCATGTTCAATGCTGATATAACGCATTTTGAAGATCTATTTGAACCTTTCCACACTCCCTTGGTGTCAGTTGCACAGGTGAAGGAGTCATCTTATTTATATGGAAATCCACTTAACAAATTCACTTGAACAATCGATAAAAGAACCATTGTTGAGCCAATTGAAAAGGTCACTCCTCCTGAGGATCCATTACCTCCGCCAACGCGGCTAACTATCACTGCGTTTGACACTTTCGAGTATCAACCTAAAGAATCTGAATTTGGTATTCAAAGATTTAATTATCTATATTTGTGCATATACAAACCATTTATTGTACCTTCTCAAAAATCTTTTCATTGTTATGGCACAATGATTTTCATAATTTGTTAACTTACTTGTTGTTTCTTTTTTTGGTTTAACGTAAGATGTCCTTGCTATTGTGATTAATGGCGGTCCTTCAACATATGCTGCAAATGGAAGAAGAATTCAAGAATTTATCATTATGGATAAGCAGTAAGGATATACCTCCTATTCCTTTTCCCTATTTCTTTTGTTGTTCCTTATCTTCCTTCACTTCCTCCTCCTCCTCATCAACCACCTCTCTTTTTTCGGTTGTAACTGCTGGTTTTATCTTTTTGTGGCAAAAAAAAAAAATTCACATGATTCAACTATGATGTTGTTTTTGTCTTTTTATGCATCGTCTAGCAATGCCTATATATTGACTAATAATTTGAAATCATATATATGATATTAATTCAGAACTTTAGTTTTTTAATCATTTGTAGCATTTTAGTATGAGATCGTATTTCCATAGTGTAGTATTGTTGAGTGGTAAGAGGGTGAAGCACTCGCAACCTTGTAATATGGTTCTTGTTAAA